ATATCAAGAATACAATTTATGCGATATGTAGGTTAACCTGGTTTTAATGGACTTCCCCAAAAAGCAAAGATCAGACAAAATTTTATCATACGATTACTACGTCCAATCAGAATCAAGATTTTGTTTACGAACGCAACTTCGTTCCACTACGCTCCTAGTATATCATCACGGGTCGGGTCTATTGATTCTCAATTTTAATTGGTTGTTTCCGCCGGACAGTGCATAGACGTGCATAGACGTGCATGCGGTTTGTCTCGTACAGTACGAGCCCTCGCTACGCTTCGGCAATAAAGACATATAATAGGTGCAAAATCACCATAGATGCATTTAATAATACAGTCAGTCCCCTAAATGTAACCCCTAAATATAGCAATTTCTAAATTCACGATATAAGACTAGCCACACAATGGGACTTATAAATAAATGTACGTTTTTTATTCTGTAAGCGCACGCTAATTGTTTGGTCAATTTATAAAAAAAACTCATTAATAAATACAGCAACGTGATTACTAGCAAATCAAATTTATTATTTCTAAATTACTTAATGCGTGAAATCTACGGACAGTGCTTAGGAACAGTGCTATGATTACATGATTAAGTTGTGATTGGTTAGCGGCTAGGGTAGATGGAGTTTAAACAAATATAAAAATTTATTATTTGAAATTTTTATACATATAGATCTTAACGGTTCGATAGTTTAGGATAAAATTTATTGTCTTTACAAAGTTACATGTAAAAAAAAAAATTGTTTTAAATCCTTTTTAGAATAGTAATATAAAAAAATTTTTATGTTTAAAGAAAAAAAATTGCTCTGTAATTTTGTAAAGACATAATATTGATCTTCACAAATTTATCCTAAACTATCTACCAAAGATTATAACACATAAATAAAAATCGAGATCAATATAAAAATTTTAAATACTAAATTTTAAATACTAATAAATTTTATATTATATATACTACGTGCCTCAACAACCAATCCTATTTGAACCACGTGATCTGGATGCTTTTTGTGCTTGATTATGCGAAGCATCCGCGATGAGAAAATTTGTTATAGTTATTGTCGCAGATCATAATGAAATCGGATTAAAATGAAATGAGGGGTTTCTATTTGCCCTCTAAAACCCATTTATACTTGTTTATTAAAAAAACCTACCTCTAAACCGATTAATTAACCAGCTTTTAAGACAGTATAAAGATAGGCGTAAAACGCCATAAAATCTGGCACAGTTGCTATAATTTTATTGAAAATAACTATTTAGTTTTGACAATATAATACTATGTATTTATTTAATGTTTTCAAAACATTATTTATTAATAAACTATTAAATTTTTTTGCAGGTTTTTGAAAAGTTTATTTGATAAATACCTATTTATCAATAAACTTGAATTTTCTTTATTTCAATTCGTAATTACAAATTTACGCTAAAGCTTTGCACAATAAAATATTTAAAATAATACTATGGGGATTTCAAAATTAAAATCAGAAAATTTTATTTATTTTTTTTTCCGATCTATAATACTATTTTAAAAAGTCTATTTATTTTTAAAATGCTATTAATTTTGAAATCCCCTAATACAATAATCTCATTGAATAAATAAATGATAAATTATAATGGATAACCATGAAGATGATTATGATGAATTTCTAGGTTTGATTTTGATTTTTAACCCTAGACAAGTAGTTATAAATGTTGTATAAGTTTTCAACGGGGCTTGCATATCCACCAATTCTACATCATATTTTTTAAACATCAGTGCCATAAATGAGAGCATATTATTCATTGCAAATTTTCTTCCAGGACAAATTCTTATGCCTCCGCCAAAAATAACCAACGAATATTTGGATATACTATCCAAATTGTTTTCAAATCCATTCAAATTATTTTTTAGATAAAATCTATCTGGATCATAAGCATTAGGATTTTCCCAGTACTTTTCATTCATATGAATGCTAGCATAATTTAAATGAAATATAGTTTTAGTTGGCCATGTGTACCCAGCAACCTGACATTCAGCAGCGGCAACTCTTTTTGATACAGCGGTTACTGGCATCACACGAGAAGTTTCTTTAATTATTGCTTCACAATATTTAAGTTTTGCAAGAATGTCAGCAGTTATATATGGTGTGTCAGAAGAATTATTGGGAAAAACTGAATCAATTTCATCAAACATTTTTTGTTTTACGTGTGGATTATGGCAAATGTAATATATTATATAACATAATAAGTGTGAAGTCTGTAGATAAAAGAAGAATTTAAATGTAAATATTGATGACGCAATAAAGAAAAATAAATATACAGTAATTGAATTAAATTGAATTAAATTGAATTAAATTGAATTAAAATGAATTAAATAATTAAACCTACCGTATCAAACCCAGCAAGAAAAGCATCAAGTAAGATTGATCTAATAACATCGTTATTTATAGACATCTCATTGACGTCATGACTAAGGAGAAAAGTTAGCAAGTCATGCTTTGACTTTAATTCATGAGGAGTCTTTGAAAGTTCAAATTTTCTTTGTTCAATTACATTGTCCAATGAATTAAATATGAAATCTCTATCAGCCAAAACAGAATTTGCTTTATCCCTGTATGATGCTACATGATATCTTAAGAATGGATTAACAAGTTGGAAGATTATCATTCCTCGAATTAGTGATATAATACTTCGATTGAATTTATCAGAATAGTATAATTTAGAAGTATCGAAGCAAGAATTTTCATTAGAGTTGAAAGAATTATAATAAGATGCCATGGAATAAGCACGTTCACCAGTTGCTAAGGCTGTTATGATATCACAGGAATATCTATTTATCCATGGCAAAAAGTCCATTTCAAACCAAACATCATTAGATGAATTGGAATTCTTAAGCGAATTCCAGTATCCTTCCAACTCATTAAATAAAACATTGCTCTGCTTTATGACTTCATCATTGAAACCAGGAGTTGACATTGACTGAGAAAAAAGGTATCTATTAATTTTCCAAGTCTCGTAATCACTATTGAAAAAGATTCCTCGCCCAAAAACACCAAGTTCGTCCATGCCTTGAGTATACTCATGTTTTCCGAATAATATTGAACTCTTTGTCGAAGTGGTCAATAAATTTTCGAAATAATCAGTCCTAGAGAGAAGTATTCTTCTATAACCACCTAATCTAAATTCACAGATGTCACCATATTTTTGTTGTAAGGTAGCAGCAATGAGTTTGAAGTTGCCGTCATAAAAATAATTCTGTAAATATTTTAGTAAACAATCAAAAAAATATATATAAATATTTATAAAAAAATTTTTTTAATAAAATACCTCTAGTTCAAATGGTAATGGTAGAGGACCAGGAAGTGGATTAGGGCGAGTGAAATGATTATAGTAAAAACGAATTAGGTATGAAAAGAATGTTAAGAAAATAATAAGAATATAGTCAACAGTGGTGAATGATGCAATGGTTTGAAAGAACATTTTGCAGCAGCAGCATGAGAGCACTTGATTACAGCCTATAGGATTCGTGTCGTTTATAATGGTTTTAACGTATTAACTTTGTGAGACATTTTCGGAATTACAAATTTCCGATTTCTTGGTTTTTTATGTATACAAATATTTAGAGGGTTTTCATCTTAATGTAACAGAAAAAATTTTTTTGTTATGACTAATTTGAGACCATGTTCTTAGTGATACACGTACGAACCATAATTATAGGTTTATTTAACGTTAATAATGCATCTTATTTATAAACAGTTGTAACAGAATAAACTTCCGAAATTCAAGTTGTTGATTTTGATTGGTTTGAACGACTAACCAAAAAAGCGGATGCATTTTTGGTTCAAAATATAATTCCGACTATGATAGCTCTTTTTTATTTAACAATCAATTAATTCGTATATATTATTAACCAATAAACTATGCTTTGATAGAATAATTGATAGCATACGAGTGCCTCCGAGCGAAAACCAGTGAGTTGAAATATAAATTAATATAAAATAATATTCTATATTTAGATTTCCTGGTTTTCACTTGACGGTACTGATATATTATTTGGGTAATTTTACTGTATGACATACATTTTGAATACTTTTATTCTGTATTATCTTATCGTTATTATTAATTCTTTTTAGAATAAAATGCTAGAGTTGTATATCTGGGATCTTTTTATGAGGGAATTTTACCCTTGAGATAATTAAAATTTTTGCTAAATATTCAATCGACCGAAATTGCAACTAAGATAAGTTAGAGTTAGTTTAGATAATTTGTATTTTGTGTCAATTAAAATCGTATATACTGATTTCATTACTGATATTAATGGAATTTTAATTAATTTACGCAAATATTAATTCGCACAACAGATACATTGCAGATAAATACTGAAATATTTCCCAGATGAAACCTGTGATTATATAACTTAAGCAAGATTTTGACACAATCTTTAATAAAAAACAAATTGCAAAGGTAAACGACAACACATAGTATATAATAAAAATAGTAGTCATACATTTTCATATCTGTTAAATAAACTAAAACTAGGGTCCGGAAACCGATTTAAATCCGGAGCCCAAAATTTTTATACATGTATTCAATTCATGACCTTAACCCTTGAAAAATATGGTCACGTAGATAAAAAAAAAAAAAAAAAAAAAGCCAAAACTACGTTTTAATATTTCTATTATAAACATATCAAAATCGTAATTTCGTTCATTAAACCGAGTCTTACACTCTGCTCTAGTCAATAATGAACATTGTAATGGCGAAGAGTTTATTGGTTAAATCATATAATAATACAGATTATCGTTATTTCTCATTTTAATTTAGTGCTGCCAATAATGTTGCTAGACAAAAACCTAAGGGTTTTGTCACTGAAAAAAGTCGAAACTAAGTTAAAAAAATTTTAAAATAACAAAGTGACAAAATGTGACAAAATTTACAAAAGGTAACAAAACTGACAAAAGGTAACAAAACTGACAAAAGGTAACAAAGCTAACAAAAGATAACAACATTTAATAAATTAATAAGTATATTTATTTATAATAAACTAAAGAGTACTGTATTGCTAATTCTTCACTGGGGGAAAGGTTACCGGGTCTATATCTCAAAAACGTACTAACACACCTCAGGAATACTAGGTAAAAATATGCAGAATTCCTAGAAACCTTATATTAACTAAAATTGGGGCCCTAATATCTAATCCTAATCCTCGTTAAAATTGTGCCCTAACTCTAAATTTTAATAATAGTTAAGAGTAGAGAATTTTCTCTCTGTTTAATGTAGTTATTTTCAAACTAAATATATATTTATATTTATATTTTTTAAAAATATAAAAAATAATTTATTTAATTTTATTTAATACTATTAAAAATTATTACAACATACTATAATATAGACTTTAATCAGGAATTATACAAAAATAATACGGTTTTTAATCAAAGACTATTCAAAAATTATGATCCTGTATCTAAAATACAACATCACTTTTATTTAAGAATTATACAAAAACAATGGTTTTACATCTAAACAATAGTTTCGCATTTAAACAATGGCGTCATATACTTTACATCTTAACAGTGATAAGTTTTTAATCAAAATTATCCTAAATAATAACTTTACATTCAAACAATAACATTGCCTTTAAGGCTTTATCCTTTACCAAAGGCTTTATTCTTTATAGAAGGCTTTAACTTTTATCAGAAATTTCGCCATCTATAAAAAAATTTATCTTCATAGAGGTTTCACAAATTTCACAAATTTCACAGGTTTCGTAGATTTCGTCAAAGGTTTTGTCATTTGAGGTGGTAGGCTTCGTCTTTTGTCATTTTGCAAAAGGGTTTTGTCTAACAATACTAGCTGCCAAGGAAGACTCGTAAGTACAGTATCCTCCAAAAGTTTATCACGGTTACACGAAAAACTTATTTATGCAAGTGTATAATATACGCAAATTGTGTAAATATCTGGAAGATAATGTTCAGCAACGAAGACTACAACCAAAAACATATGGAGCGTTGAAAACTGCACTTTTAGAGGAATGGAATATGCTTGATCATCTCTTTTAGAGGAATGGAATATGCTTGATCATCAATTTTCGTGAACTTAATAAATAATACCCCAAATCGTATTGCCGAAGTTATTGCATATTATTAATTTGCGTAATAATAATAGATTGCTAAATTTGCATATTTACAAATTTTATGTTGTTTTTTGTGTAACTGTAATAAATATTTAAACTGTAATGTGTATTACATAATTGAAGCGATTTAAGATCAGTATTTTAATCGTTCAACAGCATTTTGAGCGAATCACAGAATATTTTGTGCCAGAACTAGTGACGCAGAGGAATTATTTCCAGGTAACTTCTTTAATTGTGGAGTTACTAAAATTGTTAATTACCAATTCCACAATTTCCCCAGCCAAAGCACAGATCGTACAGTAATCACAGAAATCAGATACGTAGTACTATAATTAAGTTACATAGTATTGTCGTACGTACATAATGTTGACACCCACGTTTGAAGTTATGATCGGATAATCCGAATGTTACCATTCCAGATCATCTTGCACGCATTGGTTGATAATTTTAGTCAGATGTAACTTCAGGTTGATGTTAACTTCGGGTACGACAATATCATAATTCACAATTATTAATGTGACGAATGACGAAACCATTTCGTCAAGCAATTTCTGATTGACGAATAATTTAACATATTATCTTTATTTATGTTTTTGATATTACACAGTTACTCTTGATATAACGGACGCAATGGTTCTAGTCCTTCACCCCACTTTACAATATACTATATATGGGACATTATAATAAATTGTAAAAAAATCTCCGCTATATTAAGAAATAAAATTTTTTACTCTTGTATTACTAATATAAACAGATAATCTATTGTCAAATTATGTAATAACTAATCAATTAAACCTTTTGCATTCAATGTATTTTTTTTAAAAAACTCATTTTATAAGTAAAGTTTATAATTATGTAAAAAAATATCATTATCTATAGATTCACTGATTTCATTGTATAGAATATATGTAATGCTCTGACATAGTTAATTTTTTGTTCGATTTTTACCTCCCTCCGATATCCTGAAGGTCCTTAGACTAAAGTTGTAACCCGAACCCGAAACTATATATAAAATCCCGAAACCTTTTCCGAAACTCTATCATATACTGAAAGGCTTAGAACTTTGATTTTATACTTTGAGGCTTAAAGTATATGATAATTAGATTGCATTTTAAGAATGTTTTGGTTACTTATAGTAAATGTGCATTAGTTATTAACATTCTAATTTGAAGGTTTCGGAAAGGTTTCGGGTTTCGATCACAATTATGATTTACGGCATGGCGAAATTTTTCGCCATAGTGTCTCAAAATGTTACGTGTTTAAATTGTTTTTGGTTACCGAAATTATTATTGACTGCCGAAATTATGATGGCTACCTATTTTATTATTAACTGCCGAAATTATGGTGGCTGCCTATTTTATTATCGACCGCCGAATATTATTATCGACTGTCGATATTATTATAGACTGTCGATATTATTATATTTAAAAGGCTTTAATCCTATCAAAATTTATTATTTCATTTATTCGTATTCACTTTATTGTCACATTTTATCAAAATTTTTATTTAATATTAATGTTGAAAGATTGTTTTCAAGAGTGTCATATCAGTATTAAGAATTTTTCCATTATGAATTAAACGCCCTTTTGCTATAAAAATTATATTCCTCAAAAGTTAATAAAAACCTGATACTTAAAATAATCGATCAATTTTTAAATAAAGGTATTACTTAATATGTACTGTAACTTGAGTCTCAAATAATTTCTCATGACTTACAAACAACTGAATTTGATATTGAATATTCTCTTATAATTATCTCTTCCGAGATTTGAATAATAAATGTTATACGATTTCTCTAAAATAATTGATCGAATTTAATTCTTTCCTAGCATCCTTAAGAATAAAGTTATTACCTGATATGTATGTACGTAAGAACGTATTGTAGAGAACGTATCAAATATCGCAAAATTGCATGCTTATCATATCAGCGGATTTACGGAATTGAAATTGGACCCTAAAAATGGTTCCAAAATGCGATTGTTTAAAAAATTTATTGGTCAGATGATCAACATATAATTGCTCATTATAAATAAACACATTTGATAAGTGTAAACCCATTAGATTTTAGAGATAAGATGGTTTAACTTGCAAAGTTATATGAAATTTGGGGTCTTAAAAAAGGTCCAATTCTGTAAATCCTCCGATAAGTTATAGAGATAATATTCAAAATGAATTTACCATATTAATTACACGGTTTTTTAGTCAGAATTTGAGCAAGTTATGGAAAAAATTACGTAAATATGTTGAGTTTGATGATTATACGTATGTTTAATAAAAGGGTTTAGATTAAATCCTGAAAGTCAAAATCCTAGTGTTCTCATCCATTATCATTTATCCAGTTATATAC